TGTGTGTGTAGGTGTGTGTGTGTGTGTGTGTGTGTGTGTCGGAGTGTGTGTCCGGACGGGAATTGAAACTCCTATTCCCGTGTACCAAGAGAGTTCAAATTTGGTAGGAGTACGGGGGGCAGGATGGGAATACTTATGGCAAGTAGTGGGACAGGCTCCGCCTGCAAGGGGCGGGGCGTGCGCGACCAAAATTTTGAGCCGCAAATTCATACTTGCTTATACTTATACGGATCGTCTTCACTAATTTGCAACACCAGCAATTTTTTGTTTGTTGCAATTCATAACTCCTGTTTAAGTGGACCTAGAGCGTTGAAATTTGGTAGGGGTGCAGGAGGCTGGATGGAAACACTTATGACGGGTGGGGCATGACCAGATTCCGCCCTCAGGGAGCGGGGCGTGCGCGATAAAAATTTTAAGTCGCAAGTTTATAAGTCTTGTTCCCGTGGACCTAGATAGTTGAAATTTCGTAGGGGTACAGGAGGCAGGATGGGAACACTCACGGCATGTAGCAGGGCCACACTCTGCCTACAGGAAGAGGAGCGTGCGCTAGGGGAATTTTCAACTGTAAGTTCATAACTCCTGTCTAACCCAGTCGAAAAACTTTCAATGCGACCCGACTTTGTGAACTCTCCAAAAAAAAACCGAGCATCCTCAAAAACACAATTCTCGTCAGACTGTGATTCATTGTGTGGTACTATACATGTCCAAGCAATTGCTCATCCCGAACGAAGACGTGCAGTCCGGAACATAGCCTGATTTCATGGAAACCCTCCTTCAGGATCACGTCCAGGAAATCAATAAGACCAACGAAACCGTCAATGAAAGTACCGTCACCAAATTTTGTAAAAGGACGTCACAACACATATAACACGTGCATTGTATGCGGAGAAGCGAGATTTTCTTCCAAGCTCGATTTGCAGGGAGAGATTGATTTCTTTCTACCCTGCTAAGGCTTTTCGAGCGAGTTCACATGGATGCTATCGTACAACCGATCAGCGTGCGGCAGTTCATACAACCGGGTTGAGTGAAGTATTTGCAAATGATCTCATTCCGAAGCGTAGCATTCCTACAGGACTTGCTTCCGATCATGGTCAGAGCTAAGCTAGACGTACTCACAAAAATGTTGTAGAATGTCATAGAGTGCCACAGAATTTAATACAGTCTACAATCGGATAGGATCTTCAGAACAAGTTATATGCAAAGGTCATTTGCATCGGATGTTCAGACCTTCCATTATACATGACCGTACATTTCTTTCGAAACTCGCAGAAGGCCGTTCGACGGTTGGTCAGTAAAGGACTGAAGGATAACGTTTTTGGCGTGAATCAATCCCGTCTGAGGGATGAGACCCCACATTCGACTTCCATTCAGAATCGTAGTAGTGTAATGCGTGGGTATGTGGCCAATACAATGATCTGCCAGCCGATGAACAAGTCTGTGCTTTTATCCTTCCAGACAAATCTGCTACCAATTAATCGACCCCGGAGGGATGGAAGGCTCGTTTGACCAAGTGGATATCGATTTGGGGTTTGAACCCGTGATCGTGCGTGCGACCACTATCACCTTGTGAAGATGATCAACAGAAGTCTTTCTATATAGGCATCGCAGTCACACAGGACACACAGTTTCCCATGTAAGATAGACATATGTATGAGGGGTAAGACTTCCTCGCCTTCGTATTACTCCCTTTCCGTTTCAGCTCCAGTTCCGTACACCATTCACAAGTCTGTGCCATAGACGCAGAGCTTCCTGAGACTGGAAAGAGATGCAAATGATCAGACGAGATACAAAGGTCGTCCTCATACAATTTCAATTTCACTAACACTATCATTCTCACTTCCTGATCGGAGTTGTAGAGTGTGCTTCATTTTTCACATCACATCAAACAAGGTCAGTATACTCGCATGTTGTTTCAAGATTGTTAGCACAAGCTTTTCAGGTAGATTTGCTCATGGGCAAAGGTGGATATGATCGGGCGCAACCTTATATGAGCCCATTACCAAAATCATCTAGAGCGAGCAGAGGAAGATCAAGGTTCGCTCAGAAGGCTTTTTTGCGTAATCCATAGAAAGAATGGTTATGGGCAGAGGATGAGGTGGTTGAAGCAAAAGAGAAGATGAAATATGATGAAGTCACGGTCCGTATGGGATCCAGTCGAAGCATAGAACGCTCTTGAAGGGCAAAGGATTTGGACGTGGCGATGTAAACGACTCTGCGCGTTATCAGCACAGAAACTCGTCGATGGAAACAATGCTCATCGGAGGAGTCTGAATTCCACCTCCACGCGCCAGAGGGTACCGGACCCTGCCTCAGTATTACCACATATATTCATTGAGCCTTTCCCAGCTAATCCTATTGATATGAACTACCTTTAACTACTTATATAAGCTTACGACAAACACGAGGGATTGGGTAGAGGTCTAGATCGAGAGTTATCACTTTTACTGGATCTTTGTCTTCTCTCTCGCCTTAATTTCGGATAGTATCCCATAAACGTCAAACACTCGATGCCAGATAAAGTTCTGCTCATATCACTCTGCGATTGAATTAATCCACCAGCGAGAATTCCTGCGCCCTCCCCACAACTTTGTGCAATCAGAGGTGTCACGAAAGTGCGGATAAGTGTTATCCACCACTCAGCATCATTGCTGAGGGGAGCTTTCGACGCTGCAAAGATATAGGCTGATCATACCAGTGATCAACTCTTACTTGTGTTGAGAAGCGATATTCCATCAGTAATTTGAGAAGATTCATGTGTCATCATTGAGCATGGGAAATAAGTGAAAGAAAAAACTCTCGTCGATGAATAAACATTCAGAACTGCCTCTAAGAGCGAAGTATCAGGAATTTCGGGTTTCGGCTCAGATCCCTCCGGAGGTTGTGAAACAGTTATCCAGGGTAAGTGGAGGATCCCATTCGTTGCGTGAGCTTCTTTTATCGATTCAAAGGACTTGTTGAACTTATAGGAAGAGGAGGACGAGGAAGAAGAGGTCTGGCGGCATCGGCATCGAATAAATCGAAAGTGGTAGGTATTGCTGAATGTTTCAGCACCTGAATAGTATCAGATTGGTTTCACCTGATTGCTGCTGCTCTTTGACCAAAATTGTTATGTAGGTGTCAGTTGGGTGTTACCTTTGAACTCCTATCACTGGAGCTGTCGATTTTCGTTAGCTTAAAAGCAAACTATGAAAACCGCTACTTGAAAAGAGTAGCTGACTGTTGAACACTTTCGCATTAAGCTTCGATTCAGAATGTGCTGGTGACGGTTCTGGCTGTGATTTTCACTCAGTTCATTTTCTGCGTGATATTCGCTGTGATTGTCCTTTTACATCATGCGCGCATGATAGACTGGTGAGTATAGTTTTTTCGCGAATGGATTCTCCTGAATTTGGTTGTATGAGATCTCTCATCAAGGTTTCCTGCGCTAACCGAGCTAACAGGAGAAGGATATCTGCGAGAAATCAAGCGTGGAGAATTGAATATTAACATCGACAAGTTAGAGTAGGCAAAATAGTTAACAAGAAATGTTCACTCATCGTTCATCAACGCTCATTTATATATCATAACAACTATGGTTTGTCTTTCAACAACAGGAAGTAAATACATTTGTGTTTTGTGCACGCTTCAATACACAGTAAATACATTAGTGTTTTGTGCACACTTGGTCCTTTCTTTTGTTTTTAACGTAACGTGAAAGTTGAAGGAAAGAATACTCACTGATTCCTGGTCATATCAGCTCCAATAAACGGAACGTCAAGTCATGTTGGACCATTGCAGAAAAAGGAATTGAACTGCATTTGCCGCAGAAGAGCCATAATCTCCCGAATATGCTGTCTCGATCGAAGGTGCGAGTGGAGCATCAGCCGAAATCATCAGAATAATCCATATGTCTTGCTGAAAAGGGCCACTTTTTTTCTTGTACGTGCATAACGCACTCCGAAAATTCCTGATATTCCCGACAATTTTGGGTATCCAGGCTATTAGGAAAATCGAAAGAAAAGATGGGGAATAGTGTGATGAAACCAAAGAAAGCAGGTGAATCGGTGTTCACAAAGTCAACTGAAGGTCTGACAGTCATAAAAAAGGGGCTTGACGAGAATAAGACTAGAAAAATGAGTTAGGGGAAACTCTGACGAGACATACAATGAGTGTCATTACGCACGTGTAGGCCCTGGTGCGAATAGCGGACTACAGTGAGCAGAAATCTCCTTCAAAATTTATTCACTCATAAGTATAAGTGAACAAAAACAGTAAAAGAAGCAAGAATAACCCACCTTTCTCCTTCTCTCAAGGTAGAAAACAAGATAAAGAAGCAGCAAAAAGAATAATAGAGAATCACAGAATGAGAGCAAGTCATCACCTCACCACCCGGCGACCAGATTACACCCGCAGCTGGATCTACACCACCGAAAAATCGGCGGACGAGTTGCGCGGGACATTTGTCATGTTTTTTGGCAACTAATTGACTTCTAGATCAAAGAGTTCGTTGCGAGGCTTATAGCCGCTATCTTTCAACGCAGATCAATGCAACCTCTTCTCTCTTTTTTCTATTTCCTACACTATTCCTATGATTCTGAACTGGTGACTGTTCTACTCTGCAAGATTCCGTGCTGAACGCTACTCTGCTGCTGTTCTACTGAATACCCTGCGCATGTTCGCAGTTCATTTTTACTGAAATTCTATTCTACTTGTGATCTATTCGAACCCTGGCTTTGTCAGGCGTCTCCATGTCCTTCGGCGAAGACCTCGATCACGATTCGCCACCTCTTCTCCAGTGCTCCTCGTGGTCATTGGCTCCTTCCTTCGAGCCTCGAACTCCATTACCTTCCTTATCGGATGATTTGAAACTTGTCCGTACCATCGCACACGCTGCTCTCTCAACTTAAGGTGGATAGGGGCTGTATGCATGATCGCTATAACGTCTTCGTTCCTAAACCGGTCCGGTCGCGTCCAATCGCAAGCCCATCTGTGCATCGCCGAGGCAAGGATAGCCGAGAGGACAAGTGTTTGGACTCATTTCTGCACTAAGAAGGAAAGGGGGTTCGATTCCTCCCGAACGAAACCCATGCCTTGCGATCAGTGATTTTTTTCTTTTTTCTCATTTTGAAGCTTTGTGCAGGTGTTCTGTTCACCTGCTCACTACACTTCTTTGAGTGCTTAATATGATCACTTCCTTCTAGTTATTTTCCTTCGAATTCTCTTTTGATTACCTCTTGACGCAACAGCAAATAACTGAATTGCGGGAGGACTTTTTGTTTCTACCCCTTTTCATTTTTATACTGATTTGGAGTTGAATCCACACCTTTCTCGCTTATGATCATCGTTCTACTTATCATCCAAGCAATGAGTAGTTTTCGCTGCATCTTCGCCGTTCATGTTCAAAGGCAGGCACAGGTCACCCAGACTGACGAAAAATGCAAGAGAAGATGGAGAAAAAAGTGATGGAGGCTCAGTTTATCATCGAATCTATTCCAACTCATCGAGGAACATTTTGAAGAGGTGCTCAGCCGAGAAATCGTGGCTCCTCCTACCAATGCTGAGGAGCTTCCAAATTGAAGGAGGTCTGACATGTCGTTTCGAATTTTGTAGGAATTTCGTAGTAGCCTAATGCATGTACTGCAACTAAATTACCTAGCTTCTCTCCAGCTACTGATACCTTCGCAGTCGCAAATCAGAATAAATGTCCTTTCGGGTTTCGTTTAAGAGAGTGATATAAACGGAAACCAAAGACAGATTGTTGAGAAGTATTTATTTCAATGCGACAGGTATCTGACACCTGTTACTCGCAAAGACCACACGACTTAGCACAGTACTCCTTCGCAATCGCGTGATAGTTAGGGGTTATGCATGGAGGCTCATTGTCTTCTGCTTGAGGTGTTTGCATGTATTTACAGAACCTTTCGCCTGCTTTCGTCTCCGCCGCTTTATCCACGCACGGCTGAAAAGATCAAGTGAGACGGGAATGAACTACATTCCATAATTACACTTTGTTTGTTACAACTTCTACGAAAGCGGGTCGGCTGTATTTCCTACAGAATAAATATCCAGAATACAATACAAGCCTCTTTTAATATTGNAAGTGCCTTAAGGTCGCTTCACTTCTTTCGCGAGCAACACCATTTCTACGCAGCGTGGTGGTTTTCCGGCCTTTCTGATAGGCTACCTATTCACTCATGTAATGGCAAATGCTTCCAAGAAGACGAGTCAAGGATTCGAACCGGAGGACCAGCTAGCACTGCTTTGCCAGGGAGTATAGAGACTACTCTCTATGGTCTTAGATTGTTTTGGTCGATTCCTTATTGGTGTCTTTCTGTACTTTGTACTGTGAATCGTTCTGTGAGTTGAAGATATCGCATTTGCAGGCTGAGAAGTATGGAGCAATGTACACATGAAGCTTGCTCCGCCCATTATTTACTGTATATAAGCTCGACAGGTGTAAATAGATTCAGTGGTTCTTTCCCTCTTCTTTAGAATATTGTGTATAATGTAATATGTAATAAGCTTAATTACCCAGGTTTGAGGTAATAACCTAAGACCAGCGTGGCAATAGCGAGCGAACCCCCCAACGGCTTAAAACAAGTTTAAATGAAGCTCAGAGATAGCAGTATTTTGACATATCTTCAGATGAATATATCATCACGAAAAACACACATTTAAGCAAATTTGGAAGTTCTTATGAAAATGACTCTTGAACAATCTTGATATTGAAACTGCCATTTTTCAATAGAATTTCAGGTGCCGAGTGCTCGCTGCGCTGAATGAACTATACCAAGAGTACCATTACCGTCATATCATTCAGGATGATTTCAACGACGAAGAGAAATAGCCTTAACTCGACTTGAATTCTTGTAGACACACTTCGAAGAAGCTTATTCTAAGTAATTCCATCTTTTCATCTGTACAAACGCAGAGGAAGCGAAAGCCGGTGAGAGATTCTGAGTTGATACGCCACTGACTCAGCGCAGCCAGTGTTCAACCGGCAGGTCCTCATACATCGGTCCCTGCTTGAAAATAATTTATGTATTACTCTTTGAGTTTTACAAGTATTCCTATGTGACCAAGTGGAGTTCGAAAATTTTAACTAATGCTACCATACACACTTTCCATAGCATTCAGATCTTCGGGGTCTTCGAGCAGGAATGCGTTCGGTTACAATGTGAAGCGGAAAAACAGCTTATTTTCCAATCAATTCCAACTCAATAAATCGAGCAATGTTTTTGAGAGAGGAACTTAGTCAAAAAATCGTAGCTCCCCCTACTGTTCCTGGAG